TTTAGCATGGATTTACCGGATCAAAAAATCGTACTCATTCACCATATCTCAAACACGAATAGGGTTTCTTGTCTGTGCGACCATTGATGTCTCCGTGGAAACATTCAGGCACATTGATTTTAGATTGAAACGATATAAAGTAATACTACAGTATATTCAGATAAGAGATAGACCGGACATAAACAAGACCACGTGATCATCGAACGCTGTAACATTCGGCAGGGACGTATTAAGAGTCACGCAGTACATATTTTAGATAGTAGATGCGGCTTTGCGTAACTTTGTAGTAAATTAGCACAATTCGATGTGTATACGATTGGTGATGGATATAGGATCATGTGGGGGTGGGGTAAGAAATATATAATGATGTAAATATACATAAGGGTTTCAAAATTTTCGCTTCGATTTCCAGCTTCGGATGCCGTCTGATGTTTGGTGAAATACAGTCGAATATAATCTCAAAATGGCGTTTAAATTAGCCTAAATTAAAAATAATCGTATATCTCTTAAAATTGCTTTTATAATATTGATTAGTATATTTTTTGATTTCTAGGTAAATATGTAACCAAATTAAAACGTTCAAAACGTAAAAAAATGTGCATGGTTGAACATTGTCAGAAAGTAGATTCTTGAATAGGTTTTGCCAAAATGGGTTCAAAAATGTCAATAATTAATTAAAAAATACAGTAGCTTTATAATTACTTATAACTTACCGAATTTGATGAACGACATCTTTTATTGGAAAGATGAGCTTGATGAGCTTTCATCATCGCTACTGCCTGAAGCACCAACGTCAATAATGAATGGCTCGACTTGTTCCTCTAAAATATTGTCCAGTTCCCACATTCTCTTTTCAACTTTGTCTTTCACGTGCTTAATACAGTTTTCCCATTTTTGCGCTGTTATTAATTCTAGTGCTTCTTTGAAAAGTCCTTTGAGGTCACAAAATTTAAAAGTTGTATTGTGCTTAGCTATATAATTTTTAACCTCTGCCCATATGAGCTCAATGGGATTGAGCTCGCAATGGTATGGAGGTAAACGGAGCACAGTTTTATTTTGACTTGCTGCCATTTCGTCAATGGCGTATTTTTGATATTCCGCCTTGTGATCCTTGAAAATTCTTAATAATTGTACTTTCAGCATTGCTTCTTCAAAGTTGATATTTTTCGAGCGGAGCCAATTTTGAACATCAACTTTCCTTGAAGCCGTTGTTGGGACCTTCGCCATTCTCCGAGAATGATAAGGCGCATTATCCAACACAATTACTGCGTTTTCCTCTAAGTTCGGTAAAATTTTTGAAAACCACTGTTCAAACGATTCGCCATTCATTTCCTCGTGGTAATCTCCAGTTTTCTTAGACTCAAAGCACCACAGACCGTCAACAACAAATCCATCCTCACTGCCAATATGGCAGATAATGAGCCTTTTCCCTTTACCTGGAAATCGAAGTACTAACTGGTGTAGATTTATTTCAATAAGCGAACCTTTTTCAAATGTTTTCATCACATTCAGCGAAAAAACATTGAGACATGAGTATCAGATTGCTATAATTGGGATTATTTAGTCATATTGAAAGAAAGAATATTGAACGTCGTATGATTACTCAGCGCTTCACAATTTAATTTAAAGTTATAAACCTTTAAAAAATGAATGATCAGGAACCTGAATTACGCGCAAATATTAATATTAACAAATTTTAACTTTATAAAGCTTAAAGTATGAATTAAAATGATTAGAAATATTAGGAACGGTACACAATATAAAACATAATAACTTTTTTTAAGTTTATAATATTCGACATATTTTAAGATTATATTAAAAAATTATTGAAATATCGAAAACACATAAAAACATGGCTTAAAAAAGTTCTAACAAATGAAAATGACAATAAAACATCCACGCATTTTATCGAAAGTTATAAAAGTTTTGTTACTTGTAATATGTTTTATCTGCCCCTGGAATTAATGTTTAGAACCTTGTTCCCAAGGTTTGAAAAACATCCGATTGTTGTCTATTACTCGTATTTACCTGCTGGATTTTTTAATCCAGTGGACAGTCCATCTAGAAAGGCCCTCCTGGATGAAGTTACAGAATCATCAACCCATACTTTACTTGTAGTGCGTCCTGCGTTTACCCACGTTTCATCAAGGTAATAAATCTTCCTGTTTTGATTTCTATATTTCCCAATTTTTGTTAAATAATCCCTCCTCCATAGCACAATTTCTTCTCTATCCAGTAGTAAACTATTATGACCCCGTTTTTTCCATTTGAAATTTAAATGCTTCAGTAACGGAAATGGAAATGGAAAATTGATCGTTTGAAATTTGGCAACGTTGTATCTCCATTTACCTCCTGCAGTACTTTATCTATAGTAGATAGTAGGTATTTCATTCCTAAAGAAGAATTCATGCACTTTCCTCCTAATCGCATGCTTATCAGCTTCATCCAATGATTTAACAATACTTTTGCGATGTTTACTGGTCATTGGCTCAGAAAAGGTGTGATTTTTTTTGTATTGTCTTAACACATTAAACACTGATGCGCGACACACCCCAACATTGTGAGAAACCTTCACAACAATTTCTTTGATGGTTGATGCCTCGTTCTCCTCGCGCTCGATCTTATATATATTCAAAATGACCTCTTTCATTTCTGCACTCAGGTGTCTTTTTTAGAGCGTTTCCTAGGTGGACTACAGGAGTTTACAACTTCATCGGCAGTATTTGTACTACTGGGCATTTTGCGCAAGCAGTTGATAACAATAACAATCAATAACAAGGTATAACAATAACAACGACAAACTCAACAACTTAATAAGATAACAAACGAAAACGTCCAAAGAAATATCAAATTGCAATGATGCACACGACATACGTAACACGTCTGAACCTGAATGTGACTCTGCCTTGATACGACTGCTCTGCCGCTCGGCATAGGCATTTAATTGCGAATTGACCAATGAGGGCTCCTGTTTTACGTCGAGACGGCGGCGTTAGCGTGAAAATCACCCGAACCTTTTGTTTACATCCGGTCTATCTCTTATCTGAATATACTGTAGCTTTTGGTACCGGGTGACCCAATAATAAAGCACGCCGGCTATATCTCAGCAGCGGCCCAATCTAGAGCAGGGTTTCTCAACCATTTTTTTGCTGAGACAAAGCAATTCCTACATTTTTATTCATTAGGGCCACTGTGTACCAACCACTGCGGGATTTTTTTCCTTGAGCTTTTTAGCTAAGCGCGATCGTAGACCTATCGTTGCAGAAGCGCCATCTGTGCAAAGTCCAATGAGTTTCTTCTTCTTTTTTTGTTTTTTCTTTCTAAAATGCAAACGCTTCCCGCCCCCCTTGACATATCTCTATGTCCTCCTTGGGAGGCGTGCCCTCCATCCGTTAAAAAACTTCGTCACCAAAGCAGCCAAGAGAAATTGCTGGAAATTATTTTCGGCTTCCTGAAATGACCGCTAGTGGCGTATTTCAAAAATTCAAACGCCATTTGGAAAAATTCTCATATTAACATACTGATTTAATAACTCTATTGTGTTGATTGCTCAATTTTCGAACTTTTTCTTGATGTCATTTTTCCATATTTTGTTTCGTTTATAATCGTAATATACTAAGTGACATATAAATCCGAATACCCAGTTTAAACGGTTTTATATTAATAAAATTTTGTATAAGTACTTAATGAAGCATAATAAGTGAATGATAAAAATTGCACCCTGATGTGCTACGCATTCTCCAACGCGCCTAGGCATGCTTCTGATCAGGTGGTCAATGTCCTCCTGTGGTATCTCATTCCAGGCAACCACCAACTCCTCTCGAAGTGCTTCTAGAGTCTGAGGAGGACGTTGCAAATTGAGCAATCTCCTACCCATCATATCCCACACGTGCTCAATTGGGGATAAGTCGGGAGATCTTGGTGGCCATGTTAACAATGTGACATCATTATGTTGAAAGAAGTCTATTGTGACTCTTGCAACATGTGGTCGGGCATTATCTTGTTGGAAAGTTGGATCTGCCAGGGTGTCAAGATAGGGTAAAAGATGGGGTTCTAGAACTTCGTTGATATAACGCTGCGCGTTCATGTTACCTCTGATGAAGATTAAAGGTGACCTGGAACCATAAGCTATAGCACCCCAAACCATAACTCCAACAGTGTGATGAACATGTCTTTCAACAAAAAACTGTGGATTCCTCCTTTCACCACGTCGCCTTCTAACCCTGGCACGACCGTCGTGCATGCCTAAACAAAATCGAGACTCGTCACTAAAGACAATACTGTTCCATTCCTGATCCCAGAGTGACCGTTGTCTGCACCACTCAAGGCGATTACGTCGGTGTTCTCGAGTTAAAGGGAGGACCCAGTGTGGCCGGTTTGAAAACAAGCCAAAACTTCTCATTCGTCGGTAAACACTTCGCATGCCAATAGGTCTTCCGTGTTCTGCAAACCATTCATTTGCAATGGACCTGGTAGTGGAGAAACGGTCCCTTAAGGCCAATAATCTTAGGCGGCGATCTTCACGGTCTGTTGTTCTACGGCGGCGTCCAGTGCCCCTTGCTCTTTGCGTACGGCCTTCTCGAAGCCATGCCTGACAACACCTAACCACAGTGTCTACACTTCTTTGCACTCTAACTGCAATTGCCCGAAAAGAAAGTCCAGCTTCCCGAAGTCCCGCTATACGGCCCCTATCAAACTCACTAAGTTGACGAAATCGTACAGGTCTCCGTACTCTAGGCATCGTAACCGACCGTAAAGGATGTCAAGAACCAAAATCCGCCAACGTTGATTCTTTACTGCGGCTGAAATATTCATTTTTAGAGCGTTAGTGAATTAAAAAAAGCAGTATAAAAACCGGAATGTCCAACTGATAAGGCTGAAAATTGTTTCACTTGTTATTTACAGTAAGATAAATACATTGACCAACTTTTATTAAAATAAAACCATTTAAACTGGGTGTTCGGATTTATATGTCACTTAATATACATGTAGTTACTTACCATATGATCCGCGTTGACATAGTTGCTGATGTACAGCAAATTCGTCCACCAGTTCTTTCTGCAATCCTTGGAATCTCCACCTGCCACCACTTTCCATAACGGGCCCTCTCCGGAGTGGTTGAAAATCGTTGCGTAATAGAATATGACAAAAGCATAGATTGGAGTCAATCTGAAATCGGAAAAAAATTCATCGTACAGCGACTTGGAAGGTCGTGCTAGCACTTTTCTTTCGACATTCCGCTCGCAAGGCATGCACATGGTTGTGTTCATATAAAATAGTTGCTTGAACGGTTTGCCGGTTTTTAAGCGCAGAAAAAGTTCAATTATTATTTATATTTATTATAACTATTTACAGTTTTATTAGCATATTTCCAGCGCAAGTAAAATGAGGCAACATAAATGGAATTATAGTTGTTATATAGAAATAGTAGCTAAGAAGTATACATGGTGGTTCAGACATATAATTGACACGCGTATATTGAAAATAAACCTCGATTAATCAAGGTTACAGGGGGAAAATATACGGGGAAATCTATGATATATGAAATATCTCAAACTAACCCCTACAAATATTTTTCTGAAGATCATAAGGCTCCTTTAAAAACGAAGATTGAACAGTTTTTATTCTTTTTTCAATGTACTTCGTACGCACCGGCGTGGAAGTACTGCTAATCCTTGACCTCGCTATATCTTGGAAAGTACCGATCGGATTTTGATGAAATTTCCACAGAAGGTTACTACTATGCTAAGGTCGGACGAGCTCCATAGCTTTTGAAAATCGACCCAGTGGCGGCGGTGGTAGGGGCAAAAAAACAAAAGAATGAAAATCGCTTAGTTTTCTGTCGTTTCAGTAGGCCCCATTCATTTTTGAAAAAAATATTAATATACAGGGTGTTTCAGTTTATTGTTGCATAACTTTAAGATTCGATAGAACTTTTAAAATTAATGCATAAAGTTTATATAAACATTGGTCGAAAAATGCGTGGCTTCCGAAATACAGGGTGTTTAAATTTACTTTCTAAAATAGTTTTTTTTAAATATTTCGAACAATATTTGATCTATAACAGTGAAAATTGGAATACAAGGGTTTTTTTGGTACGACAAAACGAACTATGGGCATAGTTTTACTGTACCCGCTGGAGGGCGCTCTCTACTGTACCTGTAGTGTATTAAAATGACCGAAAAAAAAAAATTTCTTAGTGCAATTTTTTGCTTTTTGAATAAAAAAACTGATTCTTCGCACTTTTCAACATAAAAAAGCTCTCTTGTGAATTTTCGTTATAGTTAGCCGTTTTTGAGATATTTCGATTTTTAAGGTTCGACGCATATTTAATTATTTATGTTAAAATAACGTTAAAAAGTCAGTATCTCGATAATTTTTAGAAGTAGGCTGTGCCTGCATATATTTTGAAATTGAAAGCAGAATAAGGTTAAACGTCAATTAGTTGACAGTTAGTTTTGTTGTCTGTTGAAACCTGAAACGTTTTTTTGCAATTGTGAATGCACGAAATTTAGTTTCTTTTACCTGTTTTTTTTTGTAAGTTTTATAAAAATGCCATTTTTATTCTAAAGTCAAGAGTTAGCGGATATTCATTTTGTGTATGGCTTTGTAAATGGAAACGCAGCAGAAGCAGCCAGAGGATACGCACGAAGATTTCCAAACAGACGACATCCAACTCGCTCAGTATTTGTAAGAGTGCATCGCCAAATAATTGAAAATGGTTTTGGAAATCTCCAAAGGGATCAAAAGATAAATGTTCGTCAGCGCAGATTTACCTGTATGATTCTGCGTGAGTTTGATAGAGATCCGGCCACAAGTGTTAGGAGAGTTTCTGGTGCCTTGAGAATTTCAGCAAGCCATGTTCACCGTGTTCTTAGAAATGACCATAGACGTCCTTACCATTTGCAACCTGTGCAAGGACTACAGCCAGGGGACGGAGAACGAAGAATCACATTTTGTCAGTGGATTCTTGATAGAACTGACCGAAGAGTCATGCTTCACTAGACGTGGAGTGGTAAATTTTCATAATCAACATATTTGGTCGCATGAAAATCCGCATGCAGTTCGGGAAAGAAATTTTCAGCATGAATTTAGTGTGAACGTATGGATTGGTATCTACCGTAATCGACTATTTGGACCCTACCTTTTGCCTGCAAGGTTAAATGCTGCGACCTTCTTGGAATTTTTAAAGGCTGAACATGCAAATATGTGGGATGATGTTATGTTAGATTTAAGAAGATTGGCCTGGTTCCAGCTTGATGGTTGTCCATCTCATTATTCGAGAATAGTTAGAAACTGGCTGGACGAAAATTATCCAGAAAGATGGATCGGCCGTGGAGGACCAGTCGCCTGGCCTCCACGATCCCCTGACCTAAATCTGTTCGATTTCTTTGTGTGGGGATTTCCAAAAGAAAAAGTGTACCAGACTCCCGTAACCACAAGAGATATGCTAATAGACAGAATCAGCAATGCATGTGATGAAATAAGGCCTTATTTGAATAATGCTATACCACGTTCGATCATTCGTAGGTGTGAATTGTGTATTGAACAATTCGGTTTACATTTCGAGCAACTACTTGTTTGTCCTTACTATCCAATAGCATTTTAGTTGTAAATAATTAATTTAATTTGTTAAAAATAATATTGGAAAATTAAACAAATTAATATTCGGTTTTTTTTTGTGTTTATTTGGAGTTAGGAATTATTGCTGTGTTTAAAAACACAATCTAAACGATCATCTTAATTACTTGTAATGCCCAAATCGAAAATGTAAAAAAAATATTATTTTCCCATAAATAATTGAAAATGCATCGAACCTTAAAAATCGAAATATCTCAAAAACGGCTAACTATAACGAAAACTCACAGGAGAGCTTTTTTATGCAGAAAAGTGCGAAGAATCAGTTTTTTTATTCAAAAAGCAAAAAATTGCACTAAGAAAAAATTTTCGGTCATTTTAATACACTACAGGTACAGTAGAGAGCGCCGTCTAGCGGTTACAGTAAAACTATGCCCATGGTTCGTTTTGTCGGACCAAAAAACCCTTGTATACCAATTTTCACTGTTATACATCAAACATTGTTCGAAATATTAAAAAAAAACTATTTTAAAAAGTAAATTTAAACACCCTGTATTTCGGAAGCCACGCATTTTTCGACCCATGTTTATATAGACTTTATGCATTAATTTTAAAAGTTCTATCGAATTTTAAAGTTATGCAACAATAAACTGAAACACCCTGTATATTAGTTTCTTAACGTTGGCGTACTTATACGTCTCCAGCTGCGGTAATTCATCCTTGGAATGGTGGAGAAATGTTTCCGATCCTTGCGTGTCGACCACGCGATTCGCGGTCCTACCGATGCATGGTGTGTAGCAGACTGGATGTGAACTGATCGTAATCCACGCCAGAAGGAGAGGGCTCTCGATCGGCAAGAGATAATTTTATGTGGAAACGTACCTCCATCACGAATAACATGATTACAATGCTCAATTTCACAGCATCAACTTTGTAAACTTAGAAAGGTAAGTAATAGTGACAGTCATCATATCACGGAAATACCAGGTATTCCACATAGCAGAATTAATAAGATCACAGTAATTGAACATTTATTTTTAACTCAATTCAATATTATAATCATTGCAAATGGTATATGGTGGAGATATATTAGTGGATGAGGTGTCCATTCCATATGTTCGCTCAACGCTTAGACCAGTTGATTTATCTGACACTTCATTCTCAATTAAAAATAAATATACTACTACGCATAAGTATCAGCTTCGTGCAGTTGCTGTATATCGCACATTGCCATGGATGTTGTTGATCGATAGCGATCGTTTGTCACCTATTGTCACTTTAGTATGAATCCTTTTGTTCTCAACTTGCAGAAATGCTCAGAGTGAGTCCTGAAACTATTCGTTTGCATCTTCATCAGCTAGGAAAGACTTAGAAGTTAAGCAAATGAACTGACAAATGATAACATTTCACGCAACGCTAATGTACCATTTCTTAACCGGTTATTAACCTGCGACGAAAAGTGGATATGTATTCGAATTCTAAGCGTTCGTATCGTTGGTTGTCGCCTGCTGATTCGGTACCACGCACGTCCAAGGCTTCCTTGCACCCAAACAAGGTTTTGTTGTGTGTTTGGTGCACCGCAACTGGAATTGTCCATTATGAGTTTTTGGAAGGGGGTCAAACCGTCACTGCTAACTTGTATTGTGAACAGCTTCAACGAGTACAAGCAGCACTCATCCAGAAACAGCCTTCTTTGATCAATCGGAAGAAAGTGTTATTCTTGCCTCATACCGCAAAAGTGACCCGAGAAAAAATTTCTGAGCTCGGCTGGGAAACGTTACCTCACCGTTTTTTATCTCTTGACAACTGTACGACAGTTCACAACTCGAGATGGTGTAATAAATGCAGGCCAATTTTTTTACTCCAAATGCAGGGAGGTCTACAACACCAACAGACAAAAATTGGTTCCACGTTGGCAAAAGGTCATTGAATTTGATGGTAATTACTTCGACGAACAAATAGTGCCTTATTGGTTCTCAATAAAATTTTATATTTTTCTACTAAAAACACACGAACTTATTTGGTTCCCTGATAAATATTCCAACGATCTATTTTTGAAATAACGTTTGGTTTCGGACATAATAGTATTGATTGGATATTGAGTCCGTTGTGGAGAACGAGAAATAAGCCCGACGTAGTCCTCCTCGACCACGAACACAAGGCGACGTCAAGTCGGAAACGGGGAATCAATACTCATAATATACTAAGTGGACATATAAATCCGAACACCCAGTTTAAATGGTTTTATTTTAATAAAATTTTGTATAAGTACTTAATGAAGCATAATAAGTAAATGATAAAAATTTCAAAATGATTGCACTGCTTTGAAGCCCTAATGTGTGGATGTACCCTGATGTGCTACGCATTCTCTAACGTGCCTAGGCATGCTTCTGATCAGGTGGTCAATGTCCTCCTGTGGTATCTCATTCCAGGCAACCACCAACTCCTCTCGAAGTGCTTCTAGAGTCTGAGGAGGACGTTGCAAATTGAGCAATCTCCTACCCATCATATCCCACACGTGCTCAATTGGGAGATCTTGGTGGCTATGGTAACAATGTGACATCATTATGTTGAAAGAAGTCTATTGTGAC